GGTTTTTATCTATTGGAATCTCTGTTGTATACCCAGTACATGGCCATGGCCAATGCCTAAGTTGGTGTCAGAGAGCTCTAGAAGTCTGGCTGGCAGAGGAAGGGGGCCATCCTAGTCAGGGAAAACAGCAGGTTCAAGCCAGGCACAGTGGCTCACGCCTGTAATTCCCAGCACTTTGGGAGGCCAAGGCGGGCGGATCACCTGAGGTCAGGAGTTTGAGCCCAGCCTGGCCAACATGGTGAAACCCTGTCTCTACTAAAAATACAAAAATTAACCGGGCATGATGGCGGGCGCTTGTAATCCCAGCTACTTGGGAGGCTGAGGCAGGAGAATCGCTTGAACCCGAGAGGCAGGAGTTGCAGTGAGCCAAGAACGTACCATTGCACTCCAGCCTGGGTGACAAGAGTGAAACTCCATGTCAAAAAAAAAAAAAAAATTAGCCAAGCATGGTGACACACTTCTGTAATCCCAGCTACTCAGGAGGCTGAGGCAGGAGAATTGCTTGAATCTGGGAGGTGGAGGTTGCAGTGAGCCGAGATGGTGCCACTGCACTCCACCCTGGGTGACAGAGTGAGGCCTCCTCTTAAAACAATAGGCCAGATGCGGTGGCTCACACCTGTAACCCCAGCACTTTGGGAGGCTGAGGTGGGCGGATCATAAGGTCAGGAGTTTGAGACCAGCCTGACCAACATGGTGAAACCCTGTCTCTACTAAAAATGCAAAAATTAGCCCAGTGTGGTGGCGCGTGCCTGTAATCCCAGCTACTTAGGAGGCTGAGGCAGGAGAATTGCTTGAACCCAGGAGGCAGAGGTTGCAGTGAGCCGAGATTGCGCCACTGCACTCCAGCTTGGGAGACAGAGCAAGACTCCGTCTCAAAACAACAACAATAACAACAGGCTGGGCATGGTGGCTCATGCCCAGCACTTTGGGAGGCTGAGGCGGGTGGACCACCTGAGGTCGGGAGTTCGAGACCAGCCTGACAACATGGAGAAACCCCATCTCTACTAAAAATACAAAATTAAGCAGGCATGGTGGCACATGCCTGTAATCCCAGTTAGTTGGGTGGTTGAGGCAGGAGAATCACTTGCACCCGGGAGACGGACGCTGCGGTGAGCTGAGATCATGCCATCGCACTCCAGCCTGGGCAACAAGAGTGACACTTGGACTCAAAAAAAAAAAGCAAAACAAGAAAACCAAAACAACAACAACAAAACAGCAGATTCAAAGGCTGGTGCATGAAAGATCATTGCACCAGCTGCTAAGTAGCTGTGTGACCTTGGGCAAATCTATCCTGCTTATCCATAAAAAGGCAAGGAAAGCAAATGGGCTACCAAACATTGTGAGTATTCAATGGCACCTTGGGAAAGGTCTTGAAAAAACAAAACATGAAACGCCTTAGGAAAATTCTAATAGGAAGGCAGCCTTGCTATTGACAAGGAGGTGGGGAGGCCTGTCTGTCTGTGTAGCAGAGCACTGTACTGACAATACTTGGGAAAAGAAGGCAGGAGACCAGGTGCTACCTTGGAGTTAAGAGCCTGGGTCCCAGCCTCAAACATCTCTGTGAGCAAGGAGCCATGATGAAGGGCTGTGCTCTAAGGATAGCACTTCCTAGAGCTTCAAATCCTGCCCAGAGGCCCAGTGCAGTGGCTCACGCCTGTAAGCCCATCACTTTGGGAAGCCTAGGCAGGCAGATCACTTGAGGTCAGCAGTTTGAGACCAGCCCAGCTAACATGATGAAACCCCATCACTACTAAAAATAAAAAAAAAGTAGCCAGGTACAGGGGCAGGCGCCTATAATACCAGCTACCCAGGAGGCTGAGACAGGAGAATTGCTTGAGCCCAGGAGGCGGAGGTTGCAGTAAGCTGAGATCATGCTGCCGCGCTCCAGCCTGGGCGACAAAGCAAGACCATTTAAACAACAAAATATAGATAGTTTAGATAGATAGATAGATAGATAGATAGATAGATAGATAGATAGACAGACAGACAGACAGACAGATAGAGCAGGCAAGATGGCTGGGCGCAGTGACTCACACCTGTAATCCCAGCACTTTGGCAGGCCGAGGTGGGCGTATCACCTGAGGTCAGGAGTTCAAGACCCGCCTGACCAACACAGTGAAACCCCATCTCTACCAAACATACAAAATGAGCCAGGTGTGGTGGCACATGCCTGTAATCCAAGCTACTTGGGAGGCTGAGGAAGAGAATTGCTTGAACCTAAGAGGTGGAGGCTGCAATGAGCTGAAATCGTGCCATTGCACTCCAGCCTGGGCAACATGAGTGAAACTCCATCTCGAAAAAAACCAACCAACCAACAAACAAACAAAACGGGCCAGGTGCGGTGGCTCACACCTGTAATGCCAGCACTTTGGGAGGCTGAAGCAGGCGGATCACAAGGTCAGGAGTTTGAGACCAGCCTGGCCAACATGGTGAAACCCTGTCTCTGCTAAAAATACAAAAATTAGCCGGGTGGCATGTGCCTGTAATCCCAGCTGCTCAGGAGGTTGAGGCAGGAGAATCGCTTGAATCTAGGAGGCAGAGGTTGCAGTGAGCTGAGATCACACCACTGCACTCCAGCCTGGACGACAGAGCAAGACTCCATCTCAAAATAAATAAATAACTAAATAAATAAATAAAAAAAAATTTAAAAAATAAAAATAAAAAATTATTTATTTTTACTTTTTTTTTTCTTTTATAGAGACAGGGTTTTGCCCCGTTACCTGGGCTGGTCTTGAGCTACTGGATTCAAGTGATCCGCTCTTCTCAGCCTCCCAAAGTGCTGGGATGACAGGCATGAACCGCTGTGCCGGGTTTTCTTTACTTCTTTTTGTCAGATATCTCATGTCCTGGTGTGGTTTTCCCCTTCTCCTAGGCCTGGGAGCAATTGGTTTAATGGTAATCACTATGTTTGCATTTTGGAGGACTGCGCCTCAGAGCTGTTTTTATTTAAAGAGTCCAAGCAATCAAATATAGATTGGATTGCTAGCTCGCCTGTTTCCACACAATTCCCTCCTACTTAAACTCTCTATGTTTACACACAGGACTTCTAACTGCCAGTTCTGGTCAAGGTACAGCTTTCTGGAGCTCTGAGAGACGGAAGAGAAAGGGTTGGTATGCCCTGCAGGTGAATGGTGGGCTGCTGAGAGAGAAACAGAGAGACATAGTCCAAGGTAACAGGAAAGCTTCTGGCACTGGTGCCTGTACAGTCAGTGGTGTCACTGCCAGGACAGGAAATAGGAGAGGCAGAGCAGGTTTGGGGGAGGGGAAGAATGATAAGTTCAGTTTGGGAGCTTTATTCATTAGCTCCTTGGGCATTACTAGGTGGCAGGTACCATGTCAGGAACAACTGTGAACAAAAGAAAGAAGGTCCCTGCTCTCCTGAAGCTTACATTCCTGTATGGGAAGGACAACTTAAATAAATGAACAAACTGCAGAAGCCTGGTTCTATAGTCATGTGACAGACTGCTCTGCAAAGGCGGCCAGGGAAGACTCCATCTGGGGGAGACCTGGAGATTAGACGATGTCAGGCTGAGTATGACAATGACCCAGGGACATAGCCTGAGAGAAGCTGTTTGGATATCTAGGTCTGGGCTGGAGATGATCAGAAAAGAAGCAAAAAGCATACTGCAAAATATGCGCAGCATATACTACTACTTATAAGGAGATGAAAAATACACATAATGATAATGATTATTAATTATTTGAGACAGAATCTCGCTCTGTCGTCCAGGCTGGAGTTCAGTGGCACGATCTGGGCTCACTGCAGCCTCCGCCTCCCGGGCTCAAACGATTATCCAGCCTCAGCTACCCAAGTAGCTGAGATGACAGGGGTGCGCCGCCTCGCCTCGTCCAGCTAACTTTTGTATTTTTAGTAGAGACACGGTTTCGCTATCTCGGCCAGGTTGGTCTGTAACTCCCGGCCTCAGGCGATCCGCCCGCCCGCCTTGGCCTCCCAAAGTGTTGGGATTGCAGGCGTGAGCCACAGCGCAGGGCCTCACTGATTATTTGAGGCTGTTTAGGTTACGGTTTTTTAGATTCTGTTTTTTTTTTTTTTCCTAAACGGGGTAGTGAGTACAGAGGTGTGAGATGTAACACGTAATTTGTACACCTTTTGCACACGTAAATATCACAAAGTAAACTTTTAAAATAAGGCAAGGCCTAGGGCCTCGCGAGGCTTCTCTGAGGAGCGAGGACCAGGCAGTCACAGCTAGTTTCCACTGCCTCCACGCTCCGGCCTAGGCCAGCCCCTCTCCCCAGTCATCCGCTCCGGGCTGGCTCCGCCCCAGAACTGCGCAAACTCCCCGCCCACATCTGCTTCCTAACCAATGGACGCTCGAGATTTGGGCCCACACCCCCGTCACGCCCCGCCCCAGACTCGCGCGCCGCGTGTCGTCACGGCCCGGCCCCCGCCACGTGACGGCCGCGCGCCGGGCTCTCGCTCCCCGCCGGGCTCGCGCCTCAGAGGCCGGTGAGGCGCCGGCGGCCACGCCGCGGAGGGCGCTGGCCGAGCAGAGCCGGGCGTTGGGGCCGCGCGCGCATGGAGGCGTTGCCGGCAGACCCCTGAGGGCAGCAAGGAGACACGACCCGACGACCTCGCGCATCCTTCGAGCCGCCACGCGCTCCCGCCACCGGGCGGCGACGGGCCGCGGAGCCGGCGCGGCCATGGCGACGGGCGGCCAGCAGAAGGAGAACACGCTGCTTCACCTCTTCGCCGGCGGGTGAGTTTCCGGGCCCAGCCGCGCGCCCCGCCGCCTACGGTCCCCTCGGCCTTCGCCCCGGGCGCGGTCCCAGCCTCCCGCGGCGGTTACCGGCCCTCCCCGGGCTACGGCGCCGGCGCCCGGGAGGAGGAAGTCCCGGCGTCGGGGGCTGGTGGGCAGGGCCAAGGGAGGGGGTCGGGCCTTCCTCACCCCCTAATCCTGACCGCAGCCCCCGGGGCGGCTGTGCCCCGCCGCCCGTCCTCCCCGCGGCGTCCCCCATTCTGAACAGTCAGTGGCCGGTGAGTGTTGCTCGGCGGCGGTCCTGCCTGGACGCTGTGGCGCGGTCCCCCTCCCCCGCCCCCTTTTCCCGGGGCCTTTCCCGAAGCGCAGCGCCTCAGAGCCCGGGGCAGGATCGCTGATGCTCGGGTGTGCCCGAGGTTCCTCAGGGCAGTGCGGGAGGTCATCCGGATGGGCAAAACGGTCTGCGGACGTTGGACGCCAGCAAGGCCTGGATGGTGCTGGGGAATGGTGATGCTGGCGGCCACACGCGGGACGGCTAAGCCTGGGACCCGGACTAATATGAGGTCTGGAAGGTGTGTTGAGACACTTCTCGCCGGCTGGTGGACGCTTCCAACGCCGGAGACCGCAGAATTGTAAGGTGTTCCTTGTTTTGAAAGCTGCATTGGGTCTATGATCAGGCACCTTTTTTCCAGCGAAGACAATGCATTTTTAGGAGGTTGAGTTCTGCAGTTAGGAAGGGAGATGATTTTTACCTCCCTGCCCCTCACCACCTCCCCGCTTCCTCCTCCTCCCCCCTGCGAGAAGGTAAAATATTTTTGAGTATTAGTAATTTTCTTTTTTCCTTTATCACAGCCAGTGGCTTGGGGTCCTTTCGGAGTCTTCCAGATGTTTGGGGTCTTAATTTGAGGACCTCATGGGCCTGGCACAGCAATTTTTGAGTGTAGGATATTTTGCATAAAATAATTTAACCTGGATGATCATCTTGGCTTGAGTAGTTTAGTTGCAGCCTGGATTCCTACCTGGATATGTTCCTTACAACAAACAGTGGTTGAGAAACTTACCTTCGAAGATGATTGATGAAAGCGTCCCTGACCTTTTTTGTGCTTGTATTGTGGGCAGTCACCAGGTTACTTTAACCAAAAACTTTGGTGGGTCTTCATAGATAGGAAGAGTTTCTCATTCATCTCTTCCCTGTCATTCCCTTGCAACCCTTCCCTCCATGTCCCCATTGAGACTTCCTTTGTTGTTGTTGTTGTTGTTGTTGTTGTTTTGAGATGGAGTTTCGCTCTTGTTGCCTAGACTGGAGCGCAATGGTGTGGTCTTGGCTCATTGCAACCTCCGCCTCCCAGGTTCAAGCAATTCTCCTGCGTCAGCCTCCCGAGTAGCTGGGATTACAGGCATGCACCACCACGCCCGGCTAATTTTGTATTTTTAGTAGAGACGGGGTTTCTTCATGTTGAGGCTGGTCTCGAACTCCTGAGCTCAGGTGATCCGCCTGCCTCGGCCTCCCAAAGTGCTGGGATTACAGGCGTGAGCCACCGCGCACGGCCCTTTGTTTTGTTTTGTTTGAAAGGGAGTCTTCTTTTGTCGCACAGGCTGGAGTGCAGTGGTGCAATCTCTGGGCTCCCTGCAACCTCCGCCTCCTGGGTTCAAGGGATTCTCCAGCCTCAGCGTCCCGAGTAGCTGGGATTACAGGCCCCCGCCACCACGTGCGACTAATTTTTTTTTTTTTTTTTTTTTTTTTTGAGACAGAGTCTCACTCTATCTCCCAGGCTGGAATGCAGTCGCGCCATCTCGGCTCACTGCAAGCTCCGCCTCCCGGGTTCACACCATTCTCCTGCCTCAGTCCTCCAGAGTAGCTGGGACTACAGGCGCCCACGCCCGCTAACCTTTTGTATTTTTAGTAGAGACGGGGTTTCACCATGTTAGCCAGGATGGTCTCCTGACCTCGTGATCCGCCCACCTCGACCTCCCAAAGTGCTGGGATTACAGGCGTGAGCCACCACGCCAGACTGAGACTTCCTTTCAGAGTAACACAAGGGGGAAGCTTTCTTAAATTAAGCCACTCTATATAAATTTGTCTTTCTTGGGAATTTTAAACAAGTTGGCCTTTTTTTTTTTTTTTTTTTTTTTTGTCTCACACGTTTTTTAAGCCAAGAAGGATCATTAAAAAAAAAAAAAAAAAAAAAAAGAATTTCTGCTCAGTGATTTTGACTTACTGTTTTTAGTGAGGTGGTTTTTGTTTTGTTCTGTGTGTGTGTGTTTTTTGGGGTTTTTTTTTTTTGGGTTTTTTTTTTGAGCCGGAGTCTCTGTCACTCAGGCTGGAGTGCAGTGGCGCAATCTCGGCTCACTGCAAGCTCCGCCTCCCGGGTTCATGTCATTCTCTTGCCTCAGCCTCCCGAGTAGCTGGGACTACAGGCGCCCGTCACCACGCCTGGCTAATTTTTTGTATTTTTAGTAGAGACGGGGTTTCACTGTGTTAGCCAGGATGGTCTCGATCTTCTGACCTCGTGATCCGCCTGCCTTGGCCTCCCAAAGTGCTGGGATTACAGGCGTGAGCCACCGCGCCCGGCCAGTGAGGTGGTCTTTTAAATTTTTTCTTTGTATTCCAAGCCAGGAGAGTTGCTTGTGGAGAAACCTCTGTTGAGGCGCACTGTGAAATGGATGGCCCTGTCTTGTTGAATCTCCCTCTGTACCCTTCACTGTGCCCTCTGCCTGCCAGATTCTCCTACTAGGGCACTAGCCTTTTACCTTGTGATGGAGTAAATCTGCAGTGGCCAGCAGAGTTCTCCTGCTTGATTAAGATGGTAGGTAGTTTATTAGGATGTCGCCTGAAGCCATTGTATTTAACAAGTTTCCCTTCCTGTATTGGCAGCAGTTTGAGATTCAAGAAAGAAACGACAGCTTCCAAAAGGATGTTTTCAGAGTAACTAATTGGATTTTGATCCACTCTCACTAGCCTAAAATATTTTACTTCACTTTCTGTTAGGGAAGAACATGAAAGGAGCTGAGTGTAAAATGGCTGTATTGTATGGTTAAAATGAGTCCACCCAGAGGTCCCACCTACTTCGGTGGAATATGTGCTGCTTTGCTCCAAGTAACTAGTTGCCATGCCACTGTTGTTAAGCTGGCGTGTTTCCAAAAAACGAGGTGCACTTCCTTTGAAAAGAAGTCAGAGCCCCTACTTTAAAAATCTGTCACATTTCTCTTGTTTATTGAATAGCCATTGGAAACTATAACAGCAAATAAGTTTAATACTGTTGCTAATTAATGATACTGAACAAGCGTTTCTTTCTTTTTTTTTTTTTTTTTGAGACGGAGCCTCACTCTGTCGCCCAGGCTGGAGCGCAGTGGTGCAATCTCTGCTCACGGCAACCTCCGCCTCCTGGTTTGAAGCGATTCGATTCACGTGCCTCAGCCTCCCAGGTAGCTGGGATTACAGGCATGTGCCACTACGCCCAGCTAATTTTTGTATTTTTAGTAGAGATGGGGTTTTGCCATGTTGGCTAGGCTGGTCTCGATCTTCTGACCTCAGGTGATCCACCCACCTTGGCCTCCCAAAGTGCTGGGATTATACAGGTGTGAGCCACCACGCCCTGCCTGAAAAAGTGTTTTATTTTATTTTTATTTATTTATTTTTGATACAGAGTTTCACTCTTGTTGCCCAGGCTGGAGTGCAGTGGTGTGATCTCAGATCACTGCAACCTCTGCCTCCCAGGTTCAAGCGATGCGCCTGCCTCAGCCTCCTGAATAGCTGGGATTACAGGTGTGTGCCACCACGCCTGACTAATTTTTTAATTTTTTTAGTAGAGACGGAGTTTCACCATGTTACCCAGGCTGGTCTCCTACTCCTGACCTCAGATTATCTGCCTACCTGGGCCTTACTTCCCTAAATGCTGGGATTACAGGCATGAGCCACCACACCTGGTCGATTAAGTAATTTCTTTCTAATCTCCTATCATTGCTAATTTTTTTGCCATTATAAATACCTAGACATCCTTATGTCTACATGTGTGCTTTATTTCCTTTGAATAAACCAGTACAAGTACAATTGCTGAGTCAAAGATTTTTAAGGTTTTTGGTACCTACAGAGCACATTCATAAACTGTCTTTCAGGGTGAGTGAGTTCTGCATGAGCTTACCTTATTTATTTGATGTTTACTGCCTTTAGGGTTTCTGCTGTCTTCTGCTTTCTTCCCTCTTACCCTCACATCTGGGTGATATTGTTAAAAAAAAAAAAAAAAAAAAAAAAAAAAAAAAAATACCCAAACCAATTTTTTTTTTAAAAAACCTTTACTTTTTTTTTTTTTTTTTTTTTTTTTTAGATGGATTCTCTCTCTGTCACCCAGGCTGGAGTGCAGTGGCACATTCTTGGCTCACTGCAGCCTCCACCTTCCGGGTTCAAGCAATTCTCCTGCCTCAGCCTCCCTAGTAGCTGGGATTAAAGGCACATGCCACCATGCCTGGCTAGTTTTTGTATTTTTAGTAGAGACAGGGTTTTACCATGTTGGCCAGGCTGGTCTCAAACTCCTGTCCTCAGGTGATCTGCCCACCTTAGCCTCCCAAAGTGTTGGGATTACAGGTGTGAGCCACTGGACCCAGCCCTGTCATTCCTTTTCTATTGTTTAAACCACCTCGTCAAGAAGAACACAGAAGTGCTCTGAGGTGGCCCTTCTGTGTGTAGGCTTGATTTGCTGAAGATGAAAATCGTATAAATTTTCCCCATCAAATAGCATGGGGGTTCTGGTTCTGTTAGTGTTAGTGATGTCCTTCATATGCTGGGCAGGCAGTTCACATAGCACAGTGCCCATTTAGATCTAGCCAGTACCTGAAATAGCTGGGCTAAGCTGTCCTTAAATTTAGAGGTTGATCCTGGATTAGTTGCTTTGGGTCTTATTTTTATGGCATGCTTTTTTGTTTCGTCATCCTAGCCTTTAAAATGTATTTTGATGGGAATATGGTATCTCTTTAAGATCTTAAACTAGGACAGGCGCGGTGGCTCACACCTGTAATCCCAGCACTGTTGGAGGCCGAGGCGGGTGGATCACCTGAGGTCAGGAGTTCAAGACCAGCCTGGCCAACATGGCAAAACCCCATCTCTACTGAAAATACAAAAATTAACTGGGCTTGGTGGCACGCGCCTGTAATCCCAGCTACTTCGGAGGCTGAGGTAGGAGAATCACTTGAACCTGGAAGGCGGAGGTTGCAGTGAGCCGAGATCGCTCCACTGCACTCCAGCCTGGGGGACAGAGAGAGAGAGACTCCATCTCAGAAGAAAAAAAAAACAAAACAAAAAAATTAAACTATAATAAGACGCAGATATTTTCAAAATTCAGTTTTCCCACCTAGTATGGGCAGCTGTTGCCAGGTGTACTCAGGTACTTTTCCCTACAAATTAAATTTTTATCGGCTGATGGTTACTTTTTTTTTTTTCTTCTTTTTTTTGAAGAAGCGTCTCTCTCTGTGACCCAGGCTGGAGTGCAGTGCCATCTCGGTGCCATCACTGCAACCTCCACCTCCCGGGTTCAAGCAATTCTCGTGCCTCAGCCTCCCAAATAGCTGGAATTACAGGCACGCACCACCACGCCCTGCTATTTTTTGTATTTTTAGTAGAGACTGGGTTTCACCATGT